ACAGAGTTAAAAACTCAAATCTTTCTTTAACAGAAATATCCTGAGAAGCAAAGTGGATATTAATCTATTTTATCCTCTAGTGATGGCGCTAAGAGTAAAATCTCCTATTAAGAAATTTATTTTTTATTTATATTTTATTTTTTAAAAATTCTCACCCAAGGATATTTTTCCATTGATTTATAGAGAGAGTGGAAGAGAGAGGGAAAGATAGAGAAATATTGATGTGAGAAAAACACATTGTTTGTTTGCCTCCTGCAGTACCCTGACCAGGACAGGGCCAGGGAGGAGCCTGCAACTGAAGTACGTGCCCTTGACCAGAATCGAACCCAGAGCCCTTCAGTCCACATGCCAACGCTCTATCTACTGAGCCAAACCTAGTAGGGCCTATTAAGCAATTTAAACGAAGGACCTGCCCTGGCCGGGTGGCTCAGTTGGTTGGAGCATTGTCCCATACACCAAAAAGTTCTGGATTCAATTCCGGTCAGGGCACATACCTAGGTTGCAGGTTCGATCCTGGTCAGGTGCGTGAAGGAGGCAACTGATCAATGTTTCTCACATCGATGTTTTGCTATGTCTCTGTCTCTACTCTCACTTTTCCCCCTCCCTCCCTCTCTTCCTCTCTCTTGAAAATCAATAAATATATCCTTGGGTGAGGATAAAAAAAAAAAGGAAGTTGATTGATGAATGTTTGAGTAATAACACTAACTACTACTGAGCATTTACTAATGCACTGCACTATGCATTTTCCATACAATATTTTATGTAATCCTAATGAAAAATGCTTTGAGGAAAGGTATTATTATTTCCAATTTATAGATGAGAAAACTGAGTCAGAAAGGTGAAATGACTTTCCTAAGGTCATAGCTAATAACTGACAGAGTTATGTCACTATTGCAAAACCTGGGCTAATTCACACTGTACTAGGTCCTCGAGATACTGAAGTTATCAAATTATTTGGATGATTTTCAGAAGATGAATTAATAATTAATTACATTTTATAATGCTATGAAGTTTTAGTTACAGAATTGAATCTCAGACCAAGAGCTTTGTTTATAATAAACTAGAGGCCCAGTGCATGAATTCATGCATGGGTAGGGTCTGGCTGGCCCGCCCTGATCAGGCCCCATCAGGCCGGGCTGGCAGGGGGGAGGGGACGCAGGAGGTTGGCAGGCCAGCCCACCCCTGGTTGAACTCCCAGTGAAACTCCTGGTCGAGGGGACAATTTGCATATTAGCCTTTTATTATATAGGACTAGAGACCTGGTACATGAAATTCATGCAGCTCCTGGCCTGATCCCCCTAACTGCCTAACTGTGCTCCCCTCCTGGCCTGATCCCCCTAATTGCCTATCTGCTCTCCCCTCCTGGCCTGATCCCCCTAACTGCCTATCTGCTCTCCCTTCCTCTCTGCACCTTTTGGACCCCCGGTGCAGGCATGCTGAGAGCTCTCCACTGCGGCCCTGCCCCCGTCCTGATTGGTTGTTACATGACGGAGTCCCGGCCAATTTGCATATTCCTCTATTATTAGTATAGATTGCTGTTAAATTCCAGTCTTATTAGAAAGTTGTCGCATAAGTACATCTAGGTCAGCCGTGGGCAAACTACGGCCCGTTTGAAATTAATAAAACTAAAAAAAAAAAAAGACCGTACCCTTTTATGTAATGATGTTTACTTTGAATTTAGATTAGTTCACACAAACACTCCATCCATGCTTTTGTTCCAGCCCTCCGGTCCAGTTTAAGAACCCATTGTGGCCCTCGAGTCAAAAAGTTTGCCCACCCCTGGTCTAGACCCTGCATGAGTATTTTCTAATTAACTCCCTGGCGAATTTTATACCTAGAGAAGGACAGATTTGGGGTTTTGCTTTACAGCCAACGCTTGAGGCAGGAGAGGTGCCTGGTCAGACTAGTCAATAGTCTGGCCCATGCTGCTGTGTTCTTAGATGGCTAAAATGGCCATTCTTGCTCTGTCATATGTGCAGGCCTGAACAAAAGAGGACTGAGGCTGCTGCCCAAGTTAGTTTTCCACCAGTTTTTCTAAGTCTCTTTTTCTGAGCCTTTTCTGTATTTTTTCTTTTTTTCTGTGCTTTTAAGGAGGAACAACATCAAAGGGAACTCTCTCTACTTCGTAAAAGACTAGAAGAACTAGAAACAACACAAAGAAAACAACTAGAGGAACTTGGATCACCTGGGGAATGATGTTTTTGGAGGAAAGGGATGAAATCAGTGACCCAATAAAGCTTGAAGTTTTAACATATGTGGCATTTAGATACTTTATTACTGTTTGCCAAAACCCTTGAATTTGCCTCAAGAAAAGGTACCAGCTACATGCTGTAGTGCATGTAAGTCGGGATTTTAAGGTTATACTAAAGACAAGTGAAACATTAAAACAGCGTTAGAGATAGAGTATTTATCAAAAATCTTTTGAGAATGGTATAAATAAATGGAGCTAATTTAATGGAAGAATCAAATTTTTAAAATATTTTATTAATTTTACTTTGTTGAATTTTGGGGGCATGTTGCCTAAAATATGCCCATGTTGAATTTCTTCTTCCTCATCTTTGAGATGTTTGGCAATAACAGGGTCAGTAAACATTTTCTGGTTTACTAGTTATAAACCTCTAGTTCTTGAAAAAAGATGACAGTTTTAAAGTCAGCGTAAATAATACAACTTAAAGATATCTAAATATAAAACACTACCTTTTCTAAAATCTGTGTGCACATAATTTATTAAAGAGCTTAATAAATATTTTTTTCTATCTAGCTGTATTGTCTTTTGTTGGATTTTTTTCAACCATTTAGTGTGTATTTAGCAATATAGATCATATTGATTTTGACTTCTGAGATAGAATTAATAGAAAATAATAAGGTTCAAATAATTAAATACTGTGGCTTTATAAAACAAGGGCCATTCATTGTAAAACTTGACCCCAGTGGAGTCCCTTTAGGCAGCGGTTCTCAACCTGTGAGTCGCGACCATCGGAAAACGCATATAGCATATCAGATGTTTACATTACGATTCATAACAGTAGCAAAATTACAGTTATGATGTAGCAACGAAAATAATTTTATGTTTGGGGATCACCACAACATGAGGAACTGTATTAAAGGGTCGTGGCATTAGGAAGGTTGAGAACCACTGCTTTAGAGGTATCATTGGTATTTAACTTCACTTCCCATTGTGTTGGATCTAACCAAATTACTATAAATGTTTTATTTCTGTGCATCCCTAAGTATGCCATCATTTGCTTTTTAATGTAACATCATCCTTTAAAGGAATTCTACTAGAATAACTTTACATCAACAAGGTAAAACTCAAGTCTGCCAAACCAAGTGAAATGTCCATTACCCAGAAGGCTTCATGATCAAGAGTTTTAAGTTGATAGTGGAGGCCAGCAATGTAATTGAGCAGCCCTTAGCATCATTTAGAAGAAATGAGATTTACTTACTACATAATACAGCTACTTATTCACATAGAGTATATGGTGACATCTTGTTCCTGAAAAGTAAATGATTTCCCTGGATCCACTTCGTATAATAATTTTAAAAATCTATTATAACTAGAAAACTTGAAGGAAAAAAGACAAGAACAGTCCATATTTACATCAAAATGTTTATTTTTGGATATAGACATTTAAAACATTCATCTCCAAGAACAGCTTCAATCGGGTATACAATAAGAAATAGACTCTAAATCCCTATTACGGAAAAGGTAACAATTTTTAAGTGCTGCTGTAGACACTAGTGTTAGGAAAAAAAAGTTTATAAATGGTTTTGCACCAAAAAAAATAGTCAAAGAAACTTAAAAATATAAATTGTTTGCAGTTTGTTTCTCTGTTGCTGTTTAATGTAGATCCAGTGACTGATTGTCTCCAGCACATGTCTAATTTGGCCATTTACTGCATTTGGCTAATGGGACCCAAAAATGTGATCTAGATAGTGCTTTTCACTGGAGGATTGACAAACACGCTACATATATTAGTGAATCTTCACGCCACCTCAGTGAGGTAGGATAGAAATATTATACAGAAATTGAGGCACAAAGAGGTAAGTGACTTGCCCAAAGTTCCCAGCAGCAGTTCCTGGAAGCGGAGGTGAGTCTCCACACAGGACTCGCACCACAGAGCTGGACAGGGACATCCTCATGGAGCTTTCACTAAGTAGTCAGAGAAAGCTGTAGCTGTTCCTTTGAGTTTCCTTAGCATTTCTGTACCCTAAAGAAGGGGAAGTCTTTTGGGCAACTCTCCTACCGTTGGCTCTCAACTCTCCTGCTACTGTTCTCTTACAGACACTTTCACATCAAGACTGTAGCAGCCTTAGATAGGGGCCAGACCTCTCACCTTAATACTTGTAAGTAACCTATTTGGTAGTTTTTTGAGGTGTGTCCATTGAACAGACAATGGTGAAAAGCGATGGGATTGGGAAGGTACCTGTCAGGGCAATAACTGCTTATTTTCTCTGACCAGTTTGTTGAGTTGTCACCTCTGACTCTTTACCAGATATTGAGGAGCAAGAGAAATTGCATTTATCTAAGACAAATTCACAGTTAATCCTGATATCCCATACAGTGTTGGCAAGTGATTTTAAGGAATGTGTGATCAATGTTGTATTTGCTAAGTGAAAAAATGTCTTTCCTCAGTCTGGGAAGTGGAGCACCAAGGGTAGAAGGTGCCCCAAGGAAAGTCTGAGAGTTGCCAATTACACTTTCCTTCTGATTGACTAGCAGGAAAACACAGTGGTATTAAAATTGGTCGTAAGCAGCAAAAATTCAGGAATAGAAATCATCAATACAAAGACTACAGTGTAAACTGGATAGGCATGGATAAAATGAGTATTTTTAATTCTTTCTCTTGTGAGGAATACTTTCAAAAAGTACATAGTAAGACTAAGATACCAAGTTTTATACTAATATTTTTCAGGCCCTGGGCCTCAAATATATATATATTCATATATAATACTCCAGTGTGAACAGCAATTTCATGAAATGTAAAATGTATCTTTTCTTTTTTTTTTTTTGAATCACACACAAGTATTTATAACCACAGGGTTCACTAGAACTCTAAAGCAAGGAGACACTAGGATAGAACTGTAGGATTAGGGGAGTGAGTTACTCTTCCACAGATCTGATCGAAGTTAACTAATGATTTTTCTTAAACATCCACCATGTCCACCATCAAATACATTTAGTTTGCAAAAAATAAAATGAGACAAAGTGTCTGGGTAAAATGCTGTTGCATTTCCATGAAGCCTGTTGCTCCTTGCTTTAGAGTCCCTTAGTGAAATGGAGGCGAGGTGGATGGAGTGACCACTGAAAAACACAGCCCTTTCAACAATGTTGCAACACTGTTAGTTTTTGGTTTAAAAACACACACGCACACACTCACAAATGCTAAGTGTACACACTACCAAATTCTGCAGCCAGCTTTTCCAAGAACTGCTGGGGAAAGTTTCAATGCTGCGAACCTTCCAGGTTGCCCTAACACCTCCACCTTGTTTCCAATGTACTCCTTTCACATTCTGTTTCGATCACTGGCAGCGTCCCTCTTCTGCAGAGCTGCAGTGTAGTCACAAGTGGTACATAACTAGTTTTCAAACAAAACCACTTGTATCATTGTGCTTAAGTGGAGACTGTAGTTACAATACTGACACTTGCTTACTGGCCCCGTATTCTCTGTAAACAAGGAGGCTGTTTGCAACAACCACTTCAGCTCTATTTACAGAAGGGTTCCCTGTACACACACAGGCACAATAGTTGGTATGCTTTCTAAAAGCTGTGCATGTGCCTTGGTCTCTTACAGACAGTGCTCAGAATGGAACCTATGTGCAAACTTAAAAAATTAACGACACAGAGTAGCTCAAGCAGCCATTTTGCTCCCAGGTCGTCTGAAGAACTTTGCCAGATTAAGCCAGTGCTCACATCCACTTGCATTTCTTCTTTTCATCAAATAAGACTTTTACATGCAAGAGTTGTTTCTGAGCTTCTTCCAGCCCTCGTTCTCTTTCTAGTTTATTTAGAATCTGTTGACAATTAGAACAGTTATTTTAGATATTGTGGTTTTATCATTACAATTCTGGTTTCTTTTTCTTTGTGCATTCCTGATGCTGAGTGGTAAAATCTGTATGAAGCAGATGCCGACATTTTCTTCGATCATTTACATACTCACTTTGCAAGTTGTTTTGCTAAGTCATTATCACAGGATCAACAATACTTTGGCTTAAAATAGAAACTGGAAAGAAATACCAACTGTTTGCTTACAAATATGGGGCCAGACCTCCAAGGCCCTGTTTTATGCATTATGTCACAGCCATTCCAAGCACAGCAAGCATTTCTGGGCAGCCAACATGCAGGCAAGTATTTCTTCTTAAATGCAGCAGGCAGGGGCATCCTGGTTAGAGATGACTCTTTCCCTTCCCTCCCCTCCCATCCTGGGCAATCTAGTCCCTCTCCCATTCTCTCCCCTCCCGCCCCTCCCCAGTGCTTCCCTTCTAACCCCTGGCCCCTGGAAAGAGGGATGCTTATCATGTTTAAGGAACTCATTGCCTCTACCCTACCTTAGCTCTTCACTTGATCTTCAAGTAGCAAATGGACTTGGTGAGCTATTCTCACCATTGACATGGATAGCCTGTCCCAGCATGACTGAGTGGGGGGAATCAGGGAAGGGGGAATTAACATATATTTGGAAACAACACATCTGATGACTGTGTGAATTCCCGAAAAAAAAAAAAAATTCAGATTAAGGAGAATTAATCAAGGATAATGGTTTATTGAAATAGCTACTTAAGTTAGAAAATGTCATACTTCCATTTAACCATTGAATACAGAATTTAGGCGATTTGACAAGCTTAGCTTTCATTTTAGCAGTTTACAATCAAGCATAAGCTGGCCCCATTTAATAGGACCACTACTTACTCATCAGAGTTAACGTTAATTTGAGTCAATGTGGCTGTCGGCCCCATAAACTCATGGAAGTTCAGGCTGGTCCAAAGGTGGGCCATAAAGCTACGGGGCAGCAGCCATGTGCAGGGTCTGGCGAGGAGCCAGGATCCCCCATCAGACAGGCCCCCTGGCCTCCCGTTTTTGCCATTTGGGATGCCAGAGCTGTCCTGAAACCTGTCGAAGGCTTCAGAACCAAATCCTGGGGACTGATTCAGATCAATATTTTAAAATGTCATTTAAAATCTTACCTCATCAAAATATTTTACGATGTATTTGTAGATTTCTGTCAAGGCCACTTCTTCATTAAATTCATTTTCATGTTTCTTAAAGAAAGAAAGGCTTGTTGAGAGATTCTGATATGACTTAAAAAAAAAAAAAAGTAACCAAATGTTTTAATTCTACTTTCCAACAATACCTTAGATTCCTGAGTTAAGAATTCTTCCATTTCTGAAGGTGACAATGGAGGCAAATCCCTGATTGCTTTGTAATAAGATTTTACTTCCTCTTTGTAGGTTGGGATATCCTTGGCATAGAGAAGTTTATTAGTTGGTGCTTCCTAAAAAAAAAAAAAAAAAAAAAAAAAAAAAAAAAAAAAGACGAAGAAAACAATGATCACCCCAAGAGTGAAAACCGTGGGGAATTTATGACAGTAACGCAGCTGACCCTCCACACTGCTACTGCCTGGCCACGTGTCCCTGCACAGGCCCTCCTCAGTGTTGCTGAATGACTGACTGCTATCCAGATAGCTCTGGTGAGTCACTATTATTTTCAGGCAGATTAAATGCTAATATATTCTGCCTTCCTCTCATAAAGGAACTAAAATTATTATTTTTGCATGATTTGAGTTACTGTAACAATGGAACTTATTTCAATCATACTTCATTACTAATGGCTGTAAAAAGCCTGAATTAAAACATTTGCTCTCCTCGTCACCCACCAGGGAATTTTGGCATTTATAAAAGATCTGATTGTAGGTCTGATTGAGCCCTTTATATAACCATGAAAGTGGTAAGTAGCTGGCAGTGGTGGATTTTTTTTCTGCTTGTCCTGTTTATTTTAATAGTCTATCTGTGTCCTCAGGGAAGCAAGGGGTCATTAGTATTGGTGGATCTGATATCTGATTTTGCAAAAGTTCCTTGGCAATTTGAGTGTTTTTATGTAATTATAACTGATAATGTTAAAAAATAAGCGATTTTATTTTAAAAGTCAATATTTTTCACAAAATTTTAAAAAATTCTACTCAAGGAAGATAGATGAGTTACTAACAGGGCCAATGCCCCAGCACATTTAAAAATGTATCAATGGCTTGAATCACTCTGAAGGATGCCTACACAGAGATGTGTTTCACTTGTCAAGTTTAAGTAGAATCCACAATCATGCAATTATTCACTAAAGATTTAGCTGGGCAGGCACTCTGGGCAGGCACTGAGTATACAAAGGTGAAGAAGACTGGAACCTGCTCTTCAGAAGCTTACAGTCCAGTTGGGAAGACAAACTGACACAGTGCTTACTATGCCAGTAACCAGTAGCAGGTGGACAGTAAAGAAAAAGACTGCAGAATTGGGCAAATCAGGGATCCTAATAACTTTGTGTGATGTTAGGCAAGACTTGTCACTTCTCAAAACATCAATTTCCTCATCTATAAAATGAGGGTACTATCAACTACCTTATGTGGGTCTTATGAGGATTCATTGAAATATACCAAGAACATAGTAAGTAATGGATAAACCAAGCTAATTTTTACTTTGAATAAATAAGCACTTAAGTGTCTTTCAGTGTGTTTTATGCTAAAAAGAACTTTATTGGTCAAGTGAAGAAAGTGTGGGAACTACATCAGGACAAAGTTTACAAAGTAGGTATATTCAGACTGATCGGAGTCTCCTATAGTTTCTGGTACACGTTAAGAAATCATGTTGAAAGAAAGAAATGTTTGTGAGTGAATGAATAAGTAAGATTTTACTTAGACAGGTATGAGACAGGAAAGAGATGAGCAAAGGGATGTGAAAACAAGTTCATGTTAAACCTGGGAAAAGTAAAAACTGTAGAATAGATGGTATATGGAATGTACAAGAAAATGATGAGACCAGAAAGAGACTTGAGGCCCAATCAGGAGGGGCTGTGGTAGATAATGGAAGATATCTACACATTTCTTTACATAAGAGACTGACAAGATGAGATTTGTGTTCTGGAAAAATAACCTGAGATGGAAAAGCTGGGGAGATGAGATGGACAGCAGGGCAAGGACACCAGTGAGGAGGCAATTATCCCAGTGGAGAGGGGTTGAAGGGATGGGGCAGAGGGATGAGACAAAAGGGATAGATACTGTAGAGACCGAGTGAATAGAAGCCATCTGGGGATAGGGTGGGGAGAAGGAACCTCTTTCTGAGGGAGAAAGGAGGAGTCGAAGATAATGCCGAGGATTCTACCTTGAGAGACCAGGCAGCGTTAGGAAAACAAAAGTAAACACAGGTCTGTTTCACAAAAATAGGGTGATGGTGAGTTTAGACGTAGACTAGGATCTGAAGCACCTGTGACGCATCGATCCCGGCACTCTTAAAGGCCTTCTACCCGAGACCCACTGCTCAGCTCTAAAGATTTTCTCAAATCCATCAGGTACAGGACCCGCTCAGTTTAATATGCTGAGTGCTTGAATGGGACCAAAACATCGCTTTCAAAGTTTGCTCTGTATTTTTATCTTTCTTTGCTTTCTTAGGGCTTTTGCTCAGCAAAGAAAACCACAGTAAAAACAATATTGATGTTTTGACAATAAACAGACAAACTGATGATGTTAGAGATCTTGGGTAAGGTTTTCTTCCCCACACACAAGTTGTTATATTCAAGTAGACTCTTTTTAGGTATATTCAGATGGAATTAATATGGGCCAATTTCAGTAGTTTCATACTTTGGATCTATAGCTTATTAGTGTCTGCAGAATGTTTTATACTTTGTGGTAAAGAGTTCTGCAGTAGGGTTGCGATAATAATCAACTATTTTGATTTTCACTTAGAAAAACTAGATTAAAATGGAAATAAATGAGACAGATTTTAAAGAAATTTTCAGTGACATTGTTGACTATTTCTTTTTAGCTGATGTAATTTAGACCAATTCTTTATTATTTGAATATTTTCAAGAAAGAGTGCTTCAGACTCATGGGAGTACATACAAGGTGTACTGAAGCTGGGCCTCACCTTCCCGAGTTGCTGCTCCGTGAGAGAAAACGCGTCCATGAATGCCTGGGCGATCACTGACAGACAGCCATCTATGTGCGGCGTCTTCTTAATGTCAAAAACGAACTGGGGGTTCTTCAGGATGTTGACCCAAAAGCGAAGAGGAAGGCTGTTCCGAGAGAGATTTCTTTTCAAAAACTGCCATCCCTATGACGGGGGTACTCTGTTCCCCAGTTTGTAGAGGGGCGGGTTTGTCCCTGTTATTGAAGGATGCAAGTCTGCTTCGCTGAGAACAAGAAAGGGCTAAACTGACAGAGCTCCTGAGGGAGGACTGGTGGAGGAGTCTGAGGTGATATTGACAAGGCACATTGTCTCCAGACAGCCCTAGGTTATGTCAGATGGTGAGGGCCAAGGAGAACATCTCAGCGGATCTCCAGAACTGACCTCCTCCCACCCACAGTGCTACACCCTGGCCTAAGCCACATCTCCTCTCACCCGGGTTATCACCTCCTGGCTCCTGACGGCTAATTCTCTCAATCAGCTCATGACCCTCCCCATCCTCCTCCAGATAAAAGCCTGGACCCTCACCTCCTGCTCATCTCACTCATTCTCACCCACTGGCCTCCTCACTGCTCTTCATGCGCACCAGGCCAGCTTGTGCCTGAGGACTTTGCCTTTTGTTGTCTGTCTTCCTGAAACTGTTTTGTCCCAGATAGTTTCATGGTTTATGCCCTCGCTTCTTCAGAGGCCTGACTCACATGTCATCATCTCTGTGGGGCTCCTGACCTCCCCTCTCCCCACCACCGTCCTGTCACTCTCTGTCCTCTTTCCCACTTTGTCTGCTGCACCAATCACCTTCTAATATACTGCATCTTACCTATTTGATTTATTGTCTATCTCTACCTATTAGAATGCAAGCTCTGTGAGAACATGGACTTCTGTCTGTTTACCTCATTTCTATATCTCCAGCACCTAACAGTTGTTGGTGCATAGCAGGCACTCAAATAATATGAACTTGAGGAACATTCAAAGTCCTTTCATTGTCTACTTCGCAGCTCTGGCCTAGCTAGTTACCTCTGGGATATGGCTACTGGGCCTCTTAATAGCTTTACTGTCCTGAGACTAAAGCATAGTAATCTCTATTTTGTAAAACTGCTGTTTGAAACTGCTATTTGAAATTCTCTGCTATTTTTAGGTAGTCCCTTGTTCTGTTATTCAACTCTGTCATTTTTAGACGGTCTCTTATTCTGTAAAATAACTTTGTTTTTTAGCTTAAAGAATAGAAAAGATAAACTTAACTGTCTGAACTTTCAAGCTAGCCATCTAATGTAAGGGGCTGATACGCTGATACTGATAATATTCTCATGCCAGGTGTTTGTTAGATATGATGTTCTCAAGGTTACAAGTTGTCTGTATAGATATGATATGTACTCAAGGTTACAAGTTATCTGCACAAGTAATATACACAAAGACCTGAAAAGATATAAAAAGAGAATGCTTCCTTTGTTTGCTCAGAATTTGACAGAGATATTCTGCTCTGAGCCCACATGTAATAAAGACTCCTAACTAATTGGCTTGTTAAGGTGTCTTGTATCTAGCTCGCTGATTTACGATATAACAAGACCACCCCTGCTCAATGCCACAATCTTCCCAGGGAAATGCTAGCCAGCAGCACCCAGGCCTCCTGTGGGAGTAGCAGGGCCTGGGAATAAGGCTGGAACACAGGAAGGGAGGGAGCCAGAGTAGGGTTGGGATAGACCCAGATTAAATGGGAGAAGATCTGAATTCCGGAACCTTAGCTTTTAGTACTCATTTTAAATGGCCTGGTGAACCTTAATGCCTTGAACTTGCCCGGAGGAGCTGGGTCACATCGTAAACATGTATTTCAAATAGAGGTGATGAGCTATGTTTCTCTACCGAGGAGAAATGTAGAATAAATCTGGATGCCTTGCCTTAGCTTAAGATGTAAAATGATAAAAAAACAAAATAAAACACAATCCTTTGGCTAATTCTCATGGTATCTGAATACTGCATTTGATTAAATAAAAGCAGAAATTTCTCTATAGAATTGGAGTATAGACAGACAGCTTGGAAATTGCAAAATGATGAATTCTCTGAGGGATAAATAAGAGTTCTCTAATGGAAAACTATGATAAAACCACAAAATATTTTTTCATCTTTTGCCGGTCAAGCTAAACTTGTTTTAACATTCCAAACAAAGGCTCTTTTCATTCATTGAAGATAACAGAGTTTGTTTATTTTATCCTGAAGAATAGGAGGCTCTATATAGGAATGTTTTTGTTTATTGTTTAAAATAGTCACAGCAAGAAACTGCTTGGCAGTGACAGCCTACCAAGCCAAGGCTCTGCTGCAGGGCTACCGGGTCCTCTGTGCTACCACGCCCTCCTCTCAGTCAGATCCTGCCCCAGGGGCTTGCATAGTCAGCAATCAATATCTGTTCTCACCTGTTTGTTTTCCAAATATGTACGACATCAGGATCAGTGATTTTCTTGTTTTCAGCCTGGGCGTCCAAAAAGTCAAAAAAGTACTTTATAGCAAACGGGGCTCTGCTGTTAGGTAAACTCCAAATGCTTCTAAAAAGTTTTTCAAGCACAGAGTGGATTGCCACCTAAAAGATACAGAACATCGGCTTAGGAGGTAAAACAAACAGGGTAGTGGTTCTGCAAACACAGTGGAAAATGAAATCCTAGCTCAGAGAAACTGATGTGCAAACGGGCTGACGAGAAGCCGACGGGGCCAGCATTGGTTCGGAAGCCTCTTGCTGATAACAGTATTGTTTAGTCGGGAGGAAGGATACTGGAAACCTCTAGCAGTAGAAATGCCCGTTGTAGGGCTGTGTACATAAACCGAGAGGCCACGGATGTCTGGCTTTTATTAGTTACGCTCAGCCTGGAAACACTCAAGTTGCTCTGTTCCCAGAATCTTTCCTGTTGCATATATTTCTATCATGGAGCTTCATTGTGTGCTTTCCAAAGCATCTGAGTGTTTTATAAAAACCCAATAGGCAGAGCTCTGTGGGGCAGATGAGGAAATAAAGAGGCGCTGGCTGTTCTCTACTCACTAAAGAAGCCCCCTCAGCCCCAGCAGGAGACAGGGCCAGGTGTGGGTAACGGCATATATGTTGCCAGTCATTTCAGAAAAAAGGGAACACCCCAGACTTCCATTAATCCCACTAAAAGCCAGATAAAGTAAAATTTGCTCCCAATTTGGTATTCTACTTACGTTTACAAGTAACACTTTTATATGTGAACAGAATTCTTAATTTTAAAAGGAAAAATAATCAGTAAGATTTACTGGGTCTGTAGTCACGGACTCCCCCACCCCTTCATTTTATTTGCAATTCAAAGAGGGAGTTTTATTGCTCATCCCTAATAACAAACAAAAAAGAGTAATTATGCTGTCAACCTAAAAAACAATAGTGAACTGTGGCTAAAGAGACTGGGAACAATATTAAATCCCTGATTGAAGATGTTACAGGAGAAATTTGTAAAATGCTGTTATCTTTGCAGTTTATAAAAAAGAAGAAGGGGGTAGGAAGTGTTTACAATTTAAATTTTCATTTTGCGTTGCTAGAAGGCACCAGAGATTTGTAACGTTTTCACACTTCAGTGGAAATTAAATCAAACATATTATACACCCCCAGGTGGCCGGAAAATGTGCTCCCTGGCAGTGCGTGTACCTTGGTCGACAGCAGCTTTGTCAGATACATTTCTTTTACTTTGAACTTGTGCTTCCCTCGATGTCTCTTTCCTTGCACGTCCTGGAATGCTTCCGAATCTGGTAAAATCTAAAGGGAGACAGAGCAGAAGCGTCACCCAGAGAGACCAGTCTTGCTGTGAAAGCATCGGATTCAGCAGGGAGCACAGAGGTGAAACTCACCAAATGGCAGTGGTCATCCGAGTATTCCACATCTGAACGCCGAGGGAGAGAAAACAGCCCGTTAACACCAGAACCTCGGGCTCACTGGCCTTCTCACAAAATGCCCCCTTTGCGCTATGCAGTGTCCTTGAGCTCGTCATAGCTACATTTCCCCTTGCTGTGTCTTAGGACCTTCAGAACAGATTGGGCCTGGGACTGGAGGGGAAGCAGGTTCCCTGTCCCTGGAAGTGTGGAAACTGGCCGAGATCACTTGCTGATCATTCTCAACTACACCCAGGGGCTGCAAGGCACCTGGCAATGAATAAGACAGATCGAGTTCCCGCCCTAATGGAATTTACATCCTAGCCAAGGAGAGAATTTCATGTACTAATTACACAATTATTTAATTACAATTGTGATAAGGATTGTGAAGAAGAATTATATGCCAAGAAAGTATATAACAAGGGCCTGACCTAGTCTGGGAGGTTTCCCTGAGGAAGGGAACCGATATGGAGCTGAACCTAAATGTACGGATAGAGTTAGCCAGGCAAATGGAGAAGAGGGACAGGTGCAAAGGTTTTAAGGTGAGAAGGAACTTGACCCCTTCTAGGATCTGAAAGAAGGGCAGTTAGTGTAGCTCACAGAGCAAGCGGGAGAGGGCAATCTTGTAAGAAATGCGGCTTTAAGGGGTGGTAAATGGAGGGAAAGAAGGGCTGGCCTTTTGTTTTGAAGATTAGAGGGACTGGCTGCGCTGCTGTTGCCTCTCGGCTGCCAGGCTGCAGGCTCTGGAAGTAGGTGCTGGGTCCTCAGGGCTGGGTTGACAGAGGGGTGATGAAAGGGCAGAGGGGCAGGGGTTCGGAGGGATTAAAATAATGGCTCTCAGCTGGACTGGGTAGGAGGAAGGAAGCAGATCCCCAAATAAAAAGCTCTGCAAAAGGCACAATCTGGAGTGTGAGACACAACCCTTCACTCTACAGCACAAGCACACCGATGCCCCTGCCAGCCAGAATGAGGCCACCTGTGCAAGAGGCTCCTCTCGCTCAGCCTGAGGGAATGCTGGATGGTGTCCTAAGGCTACCAAACTGTCCTGTCCATTTCCCCGGGAGCCCCGCGTTTCCTGTGTGAACTGGCCAGTGCTACGCCCAGCAGGCTCCTAGACCTCCACCTGTGAGAGCAGCCCGCAGGCCAGCCCAGCACCTGAGGGCTGAGGACTGCCTGACCGGCTGGAACTGGACCCTGCGGCTTTCTCAAGGCACCATCAGTGTTCTCTGCCCGAGGCTAGCAGGCGGCAGAAGAGAGTTTAGAGCAGTGGTTCTCAACCTTCCTGATGCCGCCACCCTTTAATACAGTTCCTCATGTTGTGGTGACCCCCAACCATAAAATTATTTTCGTTGCTACTTCATAACTGTAATTTTGCTACTGTTACGAATCGTAATGTAAATATCTGATATGCAGGATGTATTTTCATTGTTACAAATTAAAGCATAGTGATTAATCACAAAAACAATATGTAATTATATATGTGTTTTCTGATGGTCCTAGGTGACCCTGTGAAAGGGTCGTTCGACCCCTAACGGGGTCGCAACCCACAGGTTGAGAACCGCTGGTTTAGAGAGTGGCCTAGTGGCTCTTGCATAAAAGCTGCCCCTTTAGTTTGCCTCTTCTCCACTTTCTGGGAATTTTGCAAATGCTATCGTCAGCCATCCTGCTGAGGAGCTGGCAGGACGCTTCAAAGGCTGCCTCTGCCCAGGTGAGGGCTGGGCGTCCTGCTAACCACTGTTTACAGGGTCCTGTCCTCCTTGCAGGGCTCACATTCTTAGGGCGAGAAACAGAAATGGCTGTTCTCTGCTTCCAGGGAATTAAGTGGCAAGAGCTCAGCCTCCCCTCTGGGCCACACGTCTGATACTCTACAGCCGAGTGAGAACAAAAGATTGACATTATGTTGGTTACCTGAAGTAAAATTTGCTATCTTCTTAAAGACTTTTATAGTGGATCCATTTGATATCTGAAAGCAAAGATAAAAAAATATATGAGTTTTCAAAATTTAATGTATTTCTCAACTTCACCCAGCAATTAGATGGCTGGCTGGATTTTATAGTCTCACTTAGTAAATCAAATACTTATGAAGAATTCCTATGTTCTGGGCACTGTGCCGGAAGATGGAGCTAAATGATGAGCAAGACACTGTCCTCAAGGAGCTCCCAGTCCTGGAAAGGAGACAGACAAGGCAACGAGAGGCAGGGAGGCGAGTGCCGGAAGGGGGAGCCCAGGTGCCGCGGTACCCACGGGAGGCGGCTGGCCTGGGAGAGGGAAGAAGCTGGGTTCCTACTGTATTAATGAATGCTGAGCCAGGTTTTCACAAACTGGCATAGAAAGCCTGTGTCTACCCTGCGATAGAGCAGTTTCCCACCTAGGTATACACCCAGCAGAAATCAGTACCTATCCTGACAGTAAACTTTTTGTAATTACTGCATACTGGAAACAACCCAAATATCATCAACAAAATGAATAAATACTTTGGGGTACAACAGAATATTATAAAACAATGAAAATAAGCAAATTAGCCCTGGCTGGGTGTCTGAGTTGGTCAGAACGCAGTCAGGACGCACACAAGAATGAACCAACGAATGCATACCATAAATATGTGGACCAATAAATCAATGTTTCTCTCTCAAATCAATAAATACATTTCTAAATATTAAAGAAAGTGAGCAAATTACTGCTACATGCCGCAGGGATGACCTCACAATGATCTTGAACAAAAGAAGCCCAACACAAAGAATACATACTGTGTGATTTCATTCACATAAAGCTGAATAAAACAGAACTATGATGTCACAAGTTCAGAGAAGAGAGCGGGGTGGTGATTGGGAGGGCCGGGGCTTCTGAGGGACAGTAATGTCCAATTTCCTGACTTGAGTGGTAGTTATGGGAGGAGCTAGCGATAACTCATCAGCAGTGCACTTATGATTTGTTCTCTTTTATGTAGGTGTCATACACACACACACACACACACACATATACACATATATACACACACACACACTATATATATATATATGTATATACATGTATATACAGACAGTCCTTGGGTTACATTGGACTCGATGTACATCGTTTTGTAGTTACGTCACCATTTCCCATTTATTTATTAAAAAAAAAGTTCTGTCATTTCAACATATGTACATATGTGCTTTATGTTTTTTATTATTTATTTACCACAAGTAAAGGTCAGGAATTGTTACCTTTCTTTTAAATTTTTTTTTTTACTGTTTCACTTCGTTATTGCTGTGTATGTGCTCCATGTAAGTGACGTAGGTGCTTATGTAGGTGGGTTCCGACTTACGGCGAAAATTGTGTTACACCGTAGGAACGGATCTCTGATGTAACCTGAGGACCTACTGTACATATACACACACATTTTATATATATATGTATATACATGTATATACATATATATACACACACATCCTATATAATAAAGAGCTAATATGCTAATTAGACCGGATGGCGGAATGACCTTCCAGAATGACCTTCTGGAACGACCAGTGGGCAGGGGGCGGGGCTGCAGGGCCATGAGGCAGCCGGGGCTGCAAGGGCCAAGCCCCTTGCACAAGTTTTGTGCATTGGGACTCTAGTTTTATATATATATATGTGTGTATATATGTACATACATGTACACGCACACACACATATATATACACATTTTATATACTTTTGGATAATCTTCATCTGAGAATATTTTCCCATTGATTTTGAGAGAGAGTGAAAGGGAAGGGGAGAGATAGTGAGAGAAAGATTGATGTGAGAGAGACACATTGACTGGTTGCCTCCCACAAGCTCCCCGACCAAGGCGCAGGGATCCAGACTGCAACTAAGATACCTGCCCTTGACAGGAATGGCACCCTCAACCCTTGAGTCTGAGGGCCAATGCTCTAACCATTGAGCACCGACTAGGGCAAGTGTCTCCTATTTTAAAAGGAAGCTTGTAAAACCATAAAAATTGCATGCACTTTTAAATAAAAAATTTTAAATTTAACTCTTACTTACAGAAAAGTACCTAACATTCACTAATATAAAAGTATACAGCCCATTGAATGTTCACTCAAGTATATACCTGTGTAACCAGCACCCACATCAAGATATAAAATTATATTTCAAGGCCCTGAGAAGTACCTCCATTTCCCTTCCCAGGCAATAAAGATCCCTTCCTTTTCTGACTTCCATCATTATTGATTAGTTGTATCTGTTCTTGAACGTCATATAAATGGAGTCATTCAGTATATATTTGTGTGTCTAGCTTCTGGGGGTCAATATTAAGGTCTGTGATGTTTACCCAAGTTGTTGCAGCTACCAGCAATTTGTCCTTTTTAAAAATCACTGTGTATTATTCCATTGTGTGAATATACTATAAAAAAAATTGCCGTACAATAAAAGGGGTACTGACACATGCTACAACATGAATGAATCTCAAGAACATTATGCTAAGTGCAAGGAGACAGTCACAGAAGACCATGGGAGTGCGATCCCATTTATACAAAGCATCCAGAATAGGCAAATTTCTATAGACAGAAAGTAGATTACTAATTGCCTAACACAGGGGTTGGAGGAATGAGGAGTGCCTGCTAACGAGTTCAAGGTTTCCTTTTGGGGTGATGAAAATGTTCTAAAATTAGATTGTGGTAATGATTATACAACTCTGTAAATGTACCAAAACCCATTGAATTGTATGCCTTAAAAAGGTGAACTTTATGTATATAAATGTTATCTCAGTAGAGCTGTTAAAAAAATTGCTACAGATTTAAAAGGTGCATGTTTGACAAGCAAATGGTTTTACTCCATTCACACGCAATTGCAGTGCTGTGTGCAGCCTGTTTTGGAGATAAAGAGGAGCTCTCTCACCTGATGGCTTCTAGTGTACCCCTCCCACCCGGCCCCGGGACCTGGATGCTCAGAGGCAGAGGCGGCCTCCATCCTTGGGAGGAGCAAACTGCTCAGAGGGGCGGAGGGGCTGCTCCACAAAACAGAAGAGGCAGATGGGGTCACAGCAATCCTCACCTTCAGCTGGGGACTGTGGAGGGGAATCCACCCTGTCCTTTCTGAGCATCCTTAGCTAAGTGCTTCCCTCTCTGCCCTAAAGCTCTAAGGCTGTTTTGATTCTAACACTAATTTGGACCTGGCCTTCCCCAGTTTGGAAAAAAGTAGAAACTTAGGGTCTCTCGTCCGGCCTGCTACATGTTGGTTATCAGCATGTACAACCCTGCTTAGCAAGCACAGGGGATGAAGGCCTAATCTTCAGGTTGCACCCACAGAGGCAGGAACTCCGAGGGAGCCAGCCCTGGAGAGGCCCCAGAGCACAGCTGTCCAGCCAGCTGTGTCCCGCCAGCCGCTAACGCTAGGCCAGCAGTCCCAATGGCTGGTGTTCCCGACAGCTTGTGGGGAGGGTTCTGGGCAGGGGCTGCTGGGCCTCAGGCCTCTGTGACGTGTCTCAAGTGAGGATTCTGGACTCTTAACTTTGACTTTGCTGTTATTACCAAACGTCCTCTCCTTTCCCTTTGAGCCCTTCATTGTTTTCTGGCTGATTTTTCAATTATCCTCCACATTTGATGCAATTAAAGTGAACTGTGTGCAGGCACCCCCTTAGCGATCCTCCAGCACTGAGTTTGGAGACGGTTTGAAAATAGTTACAAACTCCTCCGCATGAAGACCTGGATGTGTTCTGTTTCAGAGCCAATAAATACCTTTTAATAAAAGGAAGCTGGTGATTCATTCTGGGTAACTGTCAAAGAATGAATCCCAAGTGGATCCCACGGAGGGTTGAGCCAATACTGTTACTGTCAGACGCTTCGCTTTGCCAGAAGCGAGCACCCTCGCTCCACATCACGAAGGCCACGTGGCCGGCGATAGGGAGCGCTGCCCGAAGTTCCCCCGTCTTCTCAGGCGCTGGCACGGCCCACTGCTGGCCCGTGCCGGCAGCGAGAGCGCGGAAGCAGCATGCCGTGCCGAGGAGACTGTGCTCAGAAAGTATCTCCCGAGAGCAAGGGTGAAAGCACTTTATGAGTGGACGAGTTGTGTGTTTTGAGCAGGGACGTGTGTGAGTGAGCGTGCTGCCAACTTTCACAGCTGCTCTGGGCGGGGCGGGGCACTCCCCCATGTGACACTTAACACCAGCGTAAAGGTGTTGGAAGGAGGGTCATTTTGAACAAGTCAGCTGCTACCTAGTCGAGGACAGAAAGGCCTTTTTGAAAAGCGCCACAGAACCCAAAGTGTTAAAAGTCTGTGCTGTTCGTTCCGTCTGAGGGGCTCCCAAGGCTTTCCTAAAAGTGACTCATTAATCCTCCCGTGTCCTGTGAGGCAGGAGCACCCTCTGGGCTCCTACTTCAGGAGTGAAAATTAAATTGAATCAAAGGAAGATTAATGCTGCTGGATGGGTCTGAGGAGGAATAATCCTCCAGCTCAGAGCAGAGCTGGTCCACATGGCAACTTCACAATAAGTCCGCCCCAGTCCTGCGGTGCCCCGGGTTCGATGTGACCACACGGCCACACGCCCGCCGTCTGCGAGGGCTGCCCGTCGGATGCTGCGGAGATGGGTGTGAGCGTTTCCACCCCCAGCACTGGGAGAAGGGACCCACATCAACAATTTAAGGTGACTCTTGAAATAAACAGAAATATAACGTATCCTCCAAACCATTTGCAAGTGAAGGTGAGATTTCTTTCACTAAAGTACTACCTTTATGGCATAAGTTGAAGATAATTCCATAAAATGGATTTTCTAGAAATATAAGCTTGAACTTTATGTAACCTTATGAAACTGACATTTTTATAGGTAAATATGGTCCAATATTGACCATTTCATATGGTTTAGCCTAAAAGGAAAGCTGGAATTTCCGCCTAAAATTTTTTATGGAAAATTATGAATAAAAAATATTCATATTTAATTCTGAATGTTGTCTGAAATATTATAATTTTTTCCTTAAAGAACAAACCTAAAAACACAATAATCAA